CCAAAATGTGGCCCGGGAATGGAGTTCTGGGAACTCGAAGAGCACGAAGTGGCCTACAGTTGGCTCCGGGCATCCAAAATGTGCCGGGAATGGAGTTCTGGGAACTCGAAGAGCACGAAGTGGCCTACAGTTGGCTCCGGGCATTCAGAATGTGGCCCGGGAATGGAGTTCTGGGAGGTCGAAGAATGGAGTTCTGGGAGGTCGAAGAGCACGAAGTGTGTGACTGTTGCGAAAAACGAGGTTCCCCGGCAATCCCCAAAACGGCCCCCAACGGCCCCCCAACGGCCCCCAACGACTGCCCAGACCCCCCTGTGGAGTAATGTGCTGCTCCTCTTTTACACCCATTAGAAACCTATCAGTCTTCGCTGTTAGGTAATTATCCCGGCAAAGCAACCTAACAGCGATGTGTAGGAGCATATCTGGAAGCATTCCCCTTAAGATTCAGATGAGAATCCAGTTGTAGAATTCTGCTGTTCTCGCAGTCGTAGTCGCATTCGCGATGACAGTCGCAGTGGCAACGGCAGTCGCAGTCACAGCCTCAGCCTCAGCCTGCCTCAGCCTCAGCCTCAGCCTGCCTCAGCCTCAGCCTGCCTCAGCCTCAGCCTCAGCCTGCTTCAGCCTCAGCCTCAGTCTGCCTTCAGCCTCGGCCTCAGCCTCAGCCTGCCTCAGCCTCAGCCTGCATCAGCCTCAGCCTCAGCCTCAGCCTGCCTCAGCATCAGCCTCAGCCTCAGCCTGCCTCTGCCTCAGCCTGCTTCAGCTTCAGCCTCAGTCTGCCTTGCAGCCTCGGCCTCAGCTCAGCCTGCCTCAGCCTCAGCCTGCATCAGCCTCAGCCTCAGCCTGCCTCAGCATCAGCCTGCCTCAGCCTCAGCCTTGCCTCAGCCTGCAGCCTCAGCCTCAGCCTGCTTCAGCCTCAGCTCAGCCTCAGCCTCAGCCTCAGCCTGCCTCAGCCTCTCGCCTGCCTCAGCCTCAGCCTCAGCCTGCTTCAGCCTCAGCCTCAGTCTGCCTTCAGCCTCGCCTCAGCCTCAGCCTGCCTCAGCCTCGGCCTGCATCAGCCTCAGCCTCAGCCTCAGCCTGCCTCAGCATCAGCCTGCCTCAGCCTCAGCCTGCCTCTGCCTCAGCCTCAGCCTGCTTCAGCCTCAGCCTCAGTCTGCCTTCAGCCTCAGCCTCAGCCTCAGCCTCAGCCTCAGCCTGCCTCAGCCTCAGCCTGCCTCAGCCTCAGCCTGCTCAGCCTCAGCCTCAGCCTGCTTCAGCCTCCTCAGTCTGCCTTCAGCCTCGGCCTCGGCCTCAAGCCTCAGCCTCAGCCTCAGCCTCAGCCTCAGCCTCAGCCTCAGCCTGCCTCAGCCTCAGCCTCAGCCTGCTTCAGCCTCAGCCTCAGTCTGCCTTCAGCCTCGGCCTCAGCCTCAGCCTGCCTCAGCCTCAGCCTGCATCAGCCTCAGCCTCAGCCTCAGCCTGCTCAGCCTCATCAGCCTCAGCCTCAGCCTCAGCCTCAGCCTCAGCCTGCCTCAGCCTCAGCCTCAGCCTGCTTCAGCCTCAGCCTCAGTCTGCCTTCAGCCTCGGCCTCAGCCTCAGGCTGCCTCAGCCTCAGCATGCATCAGCCTCAGCCTCAGCCTCAGCCTGCCTCAGCATGCCTCAGCATCAGCCTGCCTCAGCCTCAGCCTCAGCCTGCCTCAGCCTGCCTCAGCCTCAGCCTCAGCCTTCAGCCTCAGCCTCAATCTGCCTTCAGCCTCAGCCTCAGCCTGCCTCAGCCTCAGCCTGCATCAGCCTCAGCCTCAGCCTCAGCCTGCCTCAGCATCAGCCTGCCTCAGCCTCAGCCTCAGCCTGCCTCAGCCTCAGCCTCAGCTTCAGCCTCAGCCTCAGTCTGCCTTCAGCCTCGGCCTCAGCCTCAGCCTGCCTCAGCCTCAGCCTGCCTCAGCCTCAGCATCAGCCTGCCTCAGCATTCAAAATGTGGCCCGGGATGGAATTCTGGGAACTCGAAGAACACGAAGTGGCCTACAGTTGGCTCCGGGCATTCAAAATCATGCCCAGGAATGGAATTCTGGGAACTCGAAGATCACGAAGTGGCCTACAGTTGGCTCGGGGCATCCAAAATGTGGCCCGGGAATGGAGTTCTGGGAAGTCGAAGAGCACGAAGTGGCCTACAGTTGGCTCCGGGCATCCAAAATGTGGCCCGGGAATGGAGTTCTGGGAAATAGAAGAGCACGAAGTGGCCTACAGTTGGCTCCGGGCATCCAAAATGTGGCCCGGGAATGGAGTTCTGGGAAATCGAAGAGCACGAAGTGGCCTACAGTTGGCTCCGGGCATCCAAAATGTGGCCCGGGAATGGAGTTCTGGGAAATCGAAAAGCACGAAGTGTGTGACTGTATGCGAAAAACGATCCCCCCCGGCAAACCCCAACGGCCCCCCAACTGCCACCCAACTGCCCCCAACGGCTGCCCAGACCCCCCTGTGGAGTAATGTTGAAGTAATGTTGAAGTAATGTGCTGCTCTCTTTTTACCCTAT